TGCAAATTAATTGACCTATCGTAGAAAAGGATTTCAACTGAGGAAGTATACCGGAAATAAAATCCAAAGGTTGGTATGTCTCTCATTGCAGCCCCTTTATCAGAAGGGGCAGCTTGAACCCTTGAGACGATGTCTTGAATGATGGCTTCATGTACTTCCAAACACAGCCTATTGTTTAAATGCAGATGACAAGGCATAAAGTGGCAAAGTCTCTAGGTCCTTCAAATCAAGGGATGTCATAGCAGCAGGATTGGGGCAACTAGGAACTGGGACCATGGATGAGAGGAATTGTGTAGGAAGACTCTGGATGATGGAAGAGGAAGAATCAAATTTTCTACTCTGGATTTTTGGCTCCCAACCCAACTTGGACTTGAACAAAACTATCTGTGGGCTACTTTGTATTAATAGCTGATATTCTGCCACTGAGTGCTGGCTGTATCCTTAGCATGCCTGGAGTTCTCTCAGTAACAGACCTCTGCACTCTTAGTAAGTGCAGCATTCCTGGACCAGCACCAGATCAGCGTTCCTGCACTCAGCTGAAGACTATCTGCCAGCCACAGCTCACTGTGTGAGAGACAGGGGGACTGTAGTTGGGTTCCTGCCGGCTGCCAACTTCTTTCCAAGGGAGCTGGCTCAGTCTCCCTCTGTTTTTGCAGGACTGGGACCTGCAACTCCTGGCTGCCTCACCCCCCTCTCAACATCAGCCACCTGGCTTGGGGGGGGGAGAGAAAAGGGGCTTTAGAAGGGTTTTACTTATTATTTATTATTTATTTTTTAAATGTGATTATTAATTGACATCAATTAATAGAGACCCATGGTGGATTTGAGGGAACAGGAAGGGGGAGCATTGGAGGGGACAGCCATTGAGGTGGTGCTGGGTAGGGGAAGGAATGGCAGTGGGGGTAGAACATGCCTACATAGGAGAAGAAAGGTTAGCTATCTTAATCTATCCCCTCTTCTAGTCCTACCCCCAACCAGATAGTATCAGGTGACCATATCAGCAAACCCTCAAGCCACACGGTGCTGTTGATGAATGCCAAGTCAGTACAAAATAAGACTGCCTTCATCCATGATGTAATTCTGGATGAGGGTGCTGAACTGGCATGCATTACTGAGATCTGCCTGGTGTTCCCCTCTCCCAGCTGTGTCCGCCCTCTTCTAGTCCTACCCCCAACCAGATAGTATCAGGTGACCATATCAGCAAACCCTCAAGCCACACGGTGCTGTTGATGAATGCCAAGTCAGTACAAAATAAGACTGCCTTCATCCATGATGTAATTCTGGATGAGGGTGCTGAACTGGCATGCATTACTGAGATCTGCCTGGTGTTCCCCTCTCCCAGCTGTGTCCGCCTGGGTACTCGGTCCAGCACCAATGTCGCTCAGAGGGTCGGGGAGGGGGAGTTGCTATAGTCTATAAGAGTTCTATCTCCTTGACCAGGCTTCCTATCCCTTTGAGAGGAGGTCTTGAGGGCCTGTATTGTGTGCTGGGCTTGCAAGACAGATTAGGGACCCTGCAGCGTACCAACAGTCTCCCTGCCTGAGCTGACGGAGGTTGTCTCAGACCTGGTGTTGAGAACTCTCAGGCTGTTGGTGCTGGGGGACCTCAACATTCATGCTGAGGCTGCCTTG